CTGGAATTAGGAAGACCTAAACTGTGGGCTGTTGATGGTGGGATTTGTGAGCATGGAGAGATGGGAACTTTCTTTATTTGAGTTCTGGGAAGCACTTAAATTCTAGAGAGAGAATTGTTGTTCCAGGAGGTACCAAAGGGTGCTTTAGGCAAGTAAGAGAGCAAGTTAAAGGGAGAGATTGGTTGTTGTATAAAACATATAATACTGTTCCGACTTTTTAAACAAAGTTCTTCAATGTCTTCTCTTGAGCTTTACTAACCAGCTTGTCCCAACCTCTGACAGTATCCTCGTGGTGCATGGAAGTTGTTTATGCTACAGTCTGCAGACAAACTATAATAATAATGTAGAGCAAAGAGAGTTTAGAGTGAGATTATTAAAACAAACAAACAAACAAACAAAAAGCAAACAAGAACCACCCAAACACAAACTACACTTCCTCACCTGAATTGCAGTCTCCTTGTTTTCATCACTGTTCACTGTCTTTCCTCCAAACTTGGCCTTTTTTATCTTCAAAATGATCTCATTTCAGCCTAGTGAATGTGTTAAAATGCTCAGAGACTTCGAGATTTTTCTTTTTTCCCTTAAGTCTGTGCCAGAGGGCAAGTGTTGTGTGTGAGGGATGTGGCAGGTACTGGCTTCAGCCTCTCAGGTGTGTTTTATGGTACTTGAAGCTGAACACAGTGTGAACCCCCTCTCTCCACTCCTTCCCCCTTGCCTTCCAAAAATGTGTAGTCTGGGTAAATAAGACTAAAAGTTTTAGGTTTTAATAAAATTATTTTATGAATGGAGGGGATGTTTTCAGCTTGACAGCAAACTGCCCAAGGATTGCTTTTACTTTCCACTTGTCGGGGGTTTGAAAGTGCTTTGACATTTCCTCCTCTCTCTTTTATTTCACAGTTAACGAAATTATCAGGAAGGAATTTTCTGGACTCCCTGCCAGAAGTCAGACATAGAAGAAGAGATTTGTGAGACAACTTTTACCGAATCCTTCCATAACTGACCTCTTGGATCCTTCCAGTGCCCCTGCAACCTCCAGCTTCCTTTACGGTTCATCTCAATGCAAGGAACAATGTATTGGCATCAAGTGACAGCCTTGACTAAGCAACTTGCCACCTCTCTCTGTAAACACCGAGAAGGACACCCTTCCTTTCCTCCAAAGATTGTATTGTTCTCATGTAACAGAGCATCTGTCTGAGGAAACACTTCAAGCCTGCTGCAAAATATCTATGTATTGATCTGTCTTAGTGCTGAGGGAGAAGTGATCTGTCACTCCTGATCCACACAAAGCAAGGGAGGTTGTGCATTAGAGCTTATTTGGGTGGGGTGGGAAATGGGGGAAGAAAGAGTAATATATTCCATAAAAGAATAACATGGTTTGCAGGTCACTAGCAAGGACTTGCCCTCCAGGTCTCAAAGCCCTTCTGAGAAATTTTATTATTGTAGGAAACTGAGGCAACCCAAGCTTGCTCAGCCTTTATCTAACCTGGGATCAAAAGCCATTTTTTACCGACTCTGAGCACTGTGATTGGTATTTCAAACCATAAATGTCAGCTGAATCCAGGAGTTTTCTTCATTTTTCATGTCAGACTGGATAGGAATTTGAAGGAGAGGGATTCTCACCAAGAAGCAGTGAAAAAGAACAATTCAGCAGTTGCAACACCTGTGCCAAGGTAAAATAAACCCAGATTAAATAGAGATTAATATATAGGAGTCACAGTAAATCCAAAGATTTTTATGATTGATCCTTATTAATATTTAGGCAGTGTATAAACTTGATATTTTCTCTCTAACAAATGGTTGCTGTTTCTTTTCACGTAGAACCTGCTATTGGTCTGTAACTTGTCTCAGTGTCTCATTTAGCAACTGGAACATTTAATCACCCCAAGCTGCAGAGAAAAATAATTGCATCCTACAGAAGCCATACATTCCAGAAAAAAATATACACTTACTTATATTCACCTTGTCTCTTTAGCTCTGCAAAGCTACCAGCAGTCTGTGGAAAAGTTACATTTCCATGTGAGTTACTACTTTGTTATGTTTTGCTTCCTGCGTTAGAATAGATTGTGCTGACACTGCTTATCACAATACCAGGTAACCGCTGCCACCTGCAGTTGTGCAGCTACAAGTGAGAACATTTTGGAGTGTCAGGGCCTCCACAGTGGGATAAAAGGACATCCTGAGGGGATAGTTAATGTGCAGTAAAAAACAGCCATAATATTTTAGGAAACAGGTTTTATAAATGAGGAACGCTGATACTTTTAGGAGTGTGGAGCCTGAGCTCTATTCTAAAGAGCACAGTGAAATTAATCCTGTTTTCAGTTGTTTCCCAGTAAACTTTGCTGAATACCAGTGTGTCCACGTGCTCATAGCAGGAATTATGTTATGGAAACGCAGCTGATCAGCCCCAAAGTTGGTTCCCCAAGGGCTCAAGACAGATCTTGCCCAATCCCTGCAGAGTTTGTGCTCAGTCCAACCAAAATCTCTTCAGGAGTATTGAGTATGTATTTTCTACCGCTGAAAGCTGATGCGTAAACTGTGCAAGGTCTTGGGTTTTAGAGTGGGAGACAGATTTGGACTCTCCAGAACAGCTGACCTGGGTCTCAGCTACAGGTCTGGATCTGAAACAGAGACCTGAATTTCCCAAGAGCAGCTCCAAACTCCGGATTCAGCCCAGCCCAGCTCCAGAACCCAAGCAGAGCCCTGCACATCCCAACCTGGCATTAATAACACACCTTGGGGACTCGGCTTCTGTTTCCACTTGGTGAGATTCAAATCTTTTGTCCCACAATGAGTCCCCTGTGTCCCATTTCAGCACCACCAAAAACTCCCTGGCTGCCTCAGTTCTGGTGCTCATGTTGTGAGCTCCACATGTCGCAGCAGCACGACTGGTGAGATGGCTCAGCCTCAGCCTGTACCTGCAGGGGTGAAAATGGCCCCTTTTTTTACTGCTGACTTTTATAGAACCAAAATTGAGGCCCAGACCAGCTGAAATGACTCCAGCACAGGGGAATTACTGTTAAACAGCACTCAAGGAGTACTTTGACTGGCTCATATGCCTCAAATAAGCTATTTTGGATTGTTTTAAAACTGTCAGTGGGCCAGAATCTGACAGACATCATGGATTTTTAAACAAACAAACAAATAAACTAAAAACACACTCACAGAAAACCAGAAATTCCCAAATAACTGTCAGAACCTTTTCCTTTGCTGAATTTTAAATAGAATCTCAAGAATATAAAGGTCTTTTCAGATCTGTAGATGTGCTGATGCTGTCTATCAGTACATTTGGTGATTGTAGCAACTGCTCATCAGTTTAGGAGTATCATTTTTTGCGTATTTATTTTTAGAGTAACATCAGTCAAGAAGATATGGGAAAAAAGGAAAATCTAGTGCTAGGTCTGAGCAAACAGGAAGGTCAAGGGTTAAGTTCTGCCTTATGTATTATAGATGCTGAAATGTCCTTTTAATACATCACAAAAGGAAAGAATAGCTGAAAGCTGCAACATTTGGCCATCCAGAATAGGTTGTGGACTCCTAGCAAAGGCTTTTCAGTGGTCAGAGGGCCCCAGACAGGCAAACCACTGAGCCCCTGCAGTTCTCCAAGAACTCCTTTTCAGGACACACCCAGGACACCTGGGCTCTGTAACCAAAATGTACCTTTCCACTGTGCTTATGTGTTCCTTCAGGCACTTTGTTTTTGAGGAGAGAGGGTTTGGATTTTGGTTTGGTTTTGGTTTTGGTTTTGGTTTGTTTTTTTTTTTTTAATGTGCTACAGGTGCTTTTGTTGTGCTTGCATTAGCTATATTCCTTCCTCATTTTTAATGCATAGATATTAATCTGTTTGTGTGTTTGTGCAGGTGCATATACATGTAGTTTATATGATATACCCACACAGGCAGGGACTATTGACAGGGGCCTGGAGTGACAGGGCAAGGGGGAAAGACTTCAAACTGACAGAATAGTTTTAGGTTGGATATTAGGATGAAATTCTTCCCTGTGAAGGTAGAAAGGCCCTGGCACAGGTTGCCCAGAGAAGCTGTGGCTGCCCCATCCCTGGAAATGTCCAAGGCCAGGCTGGACAAGGCTTGGAGCAGCCTGGGCTAGTGGAAGGTGTCCCTGCCCGTGGCAGGAGATGGAACTGGATGGGCTTTAAGGTCCCTTCCAACCCAGACCATTTCTTGATTCTCTGATCTATCTGGGTACATTGTATAAATATGATTTTCTATGAACACACACAACCCCATCACAACGCTGGGTCACGGTCCTGTCCTGGCTCCAGCCCCGTGTGAGCAGCACATGGAGCCAGCCCAGGACTGAGGGTTCATACCATGTACATACTATAGACTACATTTTAGTGGTTTTATTTACAGCTACAGGAGGTCAGGCTCTGCTGCCCTATCTACTTTTATGTGCAACCAGTAGTTAAATAATACAACTTTAACCGACTTTGTATTTATTTCTGGAGAAAAGGAGCATCCTCAGACATAGTGTTATGCATTGTTGTCTCTTTTTAAAATGAAAACCAATACATTAAAATTATATAGCTTGGCTGAGGAACTTCAAAATATACTGTACTAAATTATTTCCTGTTCTTGCTGAGCAGTGTTTTTTCAGTATTAATATTTTTGTTACTTAATACAACTTGCTCTCTTTCTGTAGAAACATGTGCTTAACCTTGGAAGAGTTAATACCATTTTGTGAGTAATTTGTTCTCACTTTATCTGGAAGATAGCCATATTTGCACATGAGGAAATTCTGTCTTTCCTCAGTTATCTGAATGTTTCACCACAGTGCCTTCCTGCCATTGTACCAAAGGCCTACAAATATCTTGTCTACAGGGTGAACAACTCTAATGCATTTTCCATCAAAGTTACAACATGAAAAGTACATGGGGCTCGTTGGAACTCAAAAGTTCATCTCTTTTTGTGTGTGTGTGTCTGTGTCTGGTGGTTTTGTTTTTTTTTTACTTCCATTTTTCCATCCAAGCTTTGGCTGCGAATACAGGATGAGCTTCTATAAACTTCTGCATCAAATATACGTACAATAAAAATCATCATTCATGATATGTAAACAGTCTGAGAGTGGACTGGGAGTGGACAGATATCAGGAAGATTATTTTTTTTTTGTCAGTTATGAGTGTTGGAAGTCGAGTTTGCCAGGAGGGGAATTGCTCGTGAAAATACTTGCAATGAAATATGAAGTCCTGTTTTTGTTTTTCTCCATGAGAATGAGCAGAATGTAAGATCTGAGCAACAACAATGGAGTGAAAGTGTCTCATGTATGTGTTTTTATGGTAGAAAGAATGTAGAAGAGTCATGGTTTTTGCACTTGCTTTATTTGTATCCATGTAAATATGTATCACTTCCATGCTCCTTGTAGGAATACAGCATTTTCTGAATGTAGAATATTTCCCAAACCAGCACTATGTTATTCTCTATTGTATAAAAAGCTGCTGCTTAATAACGTATCTAAACCAGTTCTCAGAGTAGCTAGCATGTTTTTAAAGTATATTTTGTAATCCATATCTTTACAAAAAAGTGACTATGCTTTTTGTCTGACCAAATATGCAACACCTTTTGGAGTAAGGTTAGTATTTATAAAGGATCGATTCTCATTTTCTCAATGTCTTAATTTTCTATGCAATTGTTGTTGAACTGTTACTGTCCTAAAAGAACCCATGTATTTGATAGATTTCCCAAAGACTTCAAAGAGAGCTTTAAATGCTTGAGAAATATGTTTCTAAATATTTCAATCTGACTTTTCCCCCTGCATTTCTTTCCAAATTGCTACTTAATAGGGAACAATTATCTGCCAGATGGGACTCCAGAAAATTACTGTCTTAATTTCAAATCTTAAACTGATTCAGAACCTCGTAATTTTTTGCACCACTTAAAGTCATCTGACATTCCAGTTTATCTGCAATTCTGTTTGTTATTTATGTTCCATATTTCTGTGCAATAGGAAGAGATGCTCATGTTGGGTCTAGATGGGCTGAATTGCAAATTCCTCATCGTTTACATTGCATTGGTTTCTTACCTATAAGTGTAAGGCAACACTCTGCTATCACATGTGAAAGGTTATAATTCCTTATTCATCTCAGTTCAGAACGAACAATCCACCTTTTTGTATGTTTGCCATAAGATTGACATCTGTATCTTTATTATCTGCTCCATTATAAGTGCAGTGGGTGGCAGCTGATAGCAATTTGTTTAACTGCCTGTCAGAGTGGGCTGTTTAAGGTTTGTTTAGCCATTTTTATTGTTTCTGGGGTGCAAAAAAATATAAGTTAGCCCCTGACCCACATTGCAATAAATTTCAGATGAAGGTGCTGATGCTGTGAAAGATGATATCAGCTGCAAATGAGTGGTTTTCTGGGGAATGGTGGTTTGAGTTCCCTGTCAATAAATCCCATAAAATAGCAAAATAGAGTAGAAAGTTCTACAATGACTGTCACAAAAATGACTAATGATTTATATGTTTGTAATAGCCCAGAAATCCACAGATGTGCTGTTGGAATCCTCAGCTGTTCCAGAACTGAGCTGCCATCAGTTTAGTGATGCTGAGCAGCACCTGAAGCACAGGTGGTGTGAGACCAACAGGGAGTGGAGGGACAGCTCAGTGTGAACAGTGATGGCCTGACTGGGACTCAGAGATCTGTGTGTTTGTGTGTGTGTGTGTGTGTGTAATTCTGAAGTGATTTCCCCCCACCCCCAAAATCCAACCCCCCCTGGAGCCCTGCCCTGGATGTTCAGGTGAAGCCAATAGATACACAAGTGAGCACTTGTCACTCAAATCACTGTAACAGATGTCTTTTGAATCAAATTACCTGTCCAAAAACCTAACTTCCACAACTGAAAAGGGGTTTCTGTCATTCACATTCCTGCAACAACGTTGTTAAACCTCCAATGTAATGATTTTTTTTTTCAATCTGTAAAATATTTTTATATATTACCTGTACTATGGTAGATTAGCAATAAATGAAAGGGCATCAGCTGCTGCAAGAGTGTTTGGTCTGTTCTTAACTACCTTTATTGCCTTTGCTAAACTAATATCAAGGGGCTGAGTCACCCACTTGATAGTCTTCGTGTCCTTGTCACCCTCCTAAATACTCACAAGTGGGATGTGCATAAGGATGTCAGAGTACAGAATATTTCTTCTTTAATGAGTTGCTCAGTTCCCTTTTGCATCAAGATCCCACTCAGGTTCTGTAGATGAGATAGATCAAGTCATACAGGGACAATTTTATGAACGTCTTCATTTGCACTTCTTGTCTATTTTCCCTTCTTTTAATTTTCTATTCCCACCATCCCAATAAAAAACCCCAAACAATCCATGTAACAGGTACTGCAGACTTTCGACCTCAATAAAGCATTAATTTCCATCTGTGTAAATGTCCTTCTGCATCAGTAGATGCTTTTTCAGAGACTGGGGATGTACTCCATTTCATTGTTGTTCATCTAAATCTTAATCCTGCATTTCTCTACTGGAGACACTAAAAGAGACATTTTCATACTGCTGTGCTGGAAGGGCGCCCAGAGCCCATTATGCCTCAGTAAGAGGCGAGTTTATCCAGCGTGCAATTAAAGACATTTACCTTAACAAAATCAATATTATCCTTTGCATTTAAAACCGGGGAATTCAAACCATATTTGATGCGTTTGCTGGACACGGAGCAAGCGCTTTGCTTTGCTTATTCACAAAAGCCTCGGAGCAGGCAGCATGTGGAAGTTCTTAACTCCCAGAACCCTGTACAAAGGCTGGGAAGCTCATAAACCAGACAGGCCTCGCCAACAAAGAAGCCGTTACTGGCTGGGAGAGAACATTTTATGATGAGCAAATATATGGCACACAGGATTTTAGCTTTATTCAGCAACAGGAAAGTTTAAGTAACTTAACCTGGAAATTCCACAGCTAAGAGCTGAGAACCTGAGCACCTGACCCAATTCTCTGGCTTTAATTTACGTCTTGGGTCCGAATTAAAAGACTACAACAGTACCCCAGGTTTTTCGTCTTAACGGGAAATTTCCTGGATTTTGTAGACTTAACTCCCTCCTTTGTAACCCTTCAACATAGCTGACTCTTTTCCCAGTTTTCAGGGTAGCAGCAAGGAAGAACAATCCCTGTTTCTAATGAACATCTGGGTCTCGTATGAGCCCTCTCTCGCTCGCGTGCTCCGTTGTGTAAATATGCGATTTACAACTTCTTTTTCTTTCTTTGAATACAAATGTAATTTAGGCAATTTAAGAAGCTGCCTTTCAGCTTCGTACCGGATTCTTTTCCAAATACATCATCACTGGCTTGCTCAGGTGGCCAAGCTCAACTGGGCTGCTGTAAGGGAGCTTCCCAGGGAAGATGAGCTCCCACCCTACTCCATCCTCACCTTCCCTATCCCTGCACCTTAGCTGGATCATCTGCTCCTGTGAACTCATCATCTCAGTGAACGCCTTTATAGAGGGGCTTGATTTAGTTTTATTTAGGGAAGGGAAGGCCACAGCAGAGGATCTGGGCTCCCACTGACCTCAAGGGCAACACTGCTGGCACAGCAAAATTGCTGAGGTTGTGAGGAACCACTTACCCCAAAAACCCGGGGGAAGGGGGAGGTGGGAGAGGCTGGCAGGAGCTGCATGCACACAAAGGGGCCAAAGCCAGACATCGGAGGTACTGCCGTACAAAGGCACCTCTTTATTCAGCAGAGCACTGAAACTACAGCTGAAATCAAGAGGGAGAGTTCAGAGGCAGCCCAGAGCTCAGAGGGCAGGCACTAAAATAAAAACATTATCTGTTGCTCAGATATACACACAAACAGTAAAAGGATGTACTTTTCTGGGCTTTTGCAGTCTATTAGCTGTCTAACTGCCCATGAGAGCTCGGCTCTGCCTGGGGAGTTTGGATGAAATGGACTCTGAGGCCGGGGATGGGCTGTGGGAGCAGCCAGCGTTCACCATACCAGCCTTGTTTTCCTCAGAAACCAAGCTGAAAGCACGGCAGCCCTTCCCAGCCAGCTGCAGCAGTCATGCTCAACTCTGGGATTTCACGCCATTAAAGAAGTTATTTCTAGGTGTTATTAACTGCTCTAAGGGCTGGGCTGTGCCTGGTAAGAAACCAGCATGGTAAGAAAATGCAGTTTAACTCCTTGTAACCCTGGGCTTGACCTGAAGGTTTAAGTTGGCCTGAGTATATTTTTCATTGACCCTTTATTTAACCTTATTGAAATATGAGCAGTGTCATGAAAGCCTCTTCAGCTGCCTGCTTACATCAGCATGAGTAGACCACTGAAATCAAAGCCCAGCTGATGTTTAATTTCTAAGCTTTTTCATGTTAGGCTTCACTAAAGGAAAAGTGGGGGGAGACACATTTCCCTTTTGAGTTAAGTCTCCAGTGACCAGCTCAGTCAGGAGCACCTTTCTTTCCTTACACTTACTCTTTTTCCCAGTTCTAAACTCAAACAGTTCTATAAATCAGGAATCATTCTGGCTTCTATACAGGGCTCTTACAAGAAACAATATTGGCTTCATTTACCTTTAAAAAGATCTGATACTGTAAGAAATAAATGGAAGGAATAAATGTAATTGAACTGTGACCATGTATCTTAAACTGGCAGCACTATGTTAACAGTGGGACTCTGATCTTAAAGGTCTTTTCCAATCAGAGTAATTCTGTGATCTTCTAGGTTTTGGTGTGGGAACGGGCAGTGTAACACTTCGCCTCACAACAGCACTGCTCCCTCTGAGCTGCAGGCTGGGGCCAAGCAAAGTTTATAGAAAATGTGCTCTTTATACTGCATGGAGGGTTGTGTCTTTTTTTTTGTTTCCCCTAGCAAGAAAAAAAAAGTCTGGGAAAAATGCAGGGAAGGTTTGCTGCAGCACAGGATATCAGTGCCATCTGCAGGGAGCTGAGCTCAGCGCTGATCCTGCACTACAGCCCCGGGGGAGGGACCCACCTGAGAGACCCCCAGAGGGAGCAGGAGATGGGCTGGCCATGGAAAACCCTTCCCAGGGTGGGCAGCATTTGGGGAGAGGGAGGCAGGGTGCTGATGGCAGCCGCAGCACATCCTGCACCCTCTCACGTCGCAGCCTCCCCCACAGCACCGGGTCAAGGCTGAGCTGCGAGCAGGTGTCACAGCCACTCTGACCCTCCCCGCTCTGACAGCCAAGCTGAGACACTGCCAGGCAAAGCTGTTACACCCCAACACACACACACACACACTTTTCCAAACGTGTTTTGACTGGAAAACCTCGGATTTCCAGGCTTTCGTGCAGTTTGGTTCACCTTCTGCTGTACTTCCCTCTGAAGAAAGCAGGGAATTTTCTGGGTTGATCTCTGCCCCCACGTCCCACGCAGCAGGCAGGGGGTAATGGTCAGAGATGAGGCCTTTTCTATTACTCACAGCAGCTCTGTGTTTAACCAGTGTTTGCACAGCAGCTGCGATGATAACCGGGCACAAAACCAGTTATCAAAAGTCTGAGCCCACATCAATACCCGCAGCCCTGCTCTCCCAAATTCATGAAGTTTGAGGTGTCTGCCAGCACCTCTTACCAAGGAATGACCCCTGAGGGAGACTGAGTGCTGCAGGTGAGGGCTGGCTCACTGGAAGGTGAGCAGCCTCAAGTTCCATGGAATCATCTGGCATGGAAACCACAGGTCACGTTGACATTGTTGCTGTTGGCACAGCATTCCTGCTGCTCTGGGAGGAGAAACACCAGCCTGTTATTCTGCTGTCCTTTGTTTCTGATTTATGGATCCCTCTAAAGCAGAAGTGAAAGGTATTCACTTCATTTATGTTATGTGGTAGAAAGTGGGATTTCAAGAATGGCCAAAATCCCACCGCAAAGACAGCAAATTCCAGGTTTATTTCCAGTTCAATGGGTACAACATTTGCACACTGATCAGGAAGTCACCGAGTAGTTGTTATGAGCAGAAATTCAAAGTATATTTTCTACCCAGTAATAACATGGGTTTATTAATCACTGCTCAAACCCAGGCTTTGCTGGTTTAGAGACTGGGGTTACCCTCTTTGTGTATTGACATTGTACCTGACCCATTTTGCTGCTTCCCTTGTTGCTCTGCCAATGGCACTGATGCATCAGTAATCCCACATGGCAGGTACTGCAGGAGCCTTGGCAGCAGGGAGGAGTGACACCCAAAAACAGGGAGTCTTGGCATGGTGTGGCTGCTGGAGCTTCTCACATGGCTGCAGATCCAGCTGAAAACCTGTCAGCACTGGAGGCAAATTGGATTCTATCCCCCTTAGGATCTGGGGCTGGGTCCAGCTGTGGGAAGGACAGGGAGGCTGGGGTGACATGACACAACAGATAGAACAGCAGAGCACTGGCTGTGCCACCAGGGCTCTGGCACAGGGACATGAGGAAACCTGCCATGCCTGGCTCTGTCCATGCCCAGTCCTGGCCCAAATTGCCCATAAGAAAGCCTCTGGCACGGAGCCATCCAGGTGCCAGACAAGCTTCTCTCTCTACCCTGGGACCCCTCCCCTGTACTGTCCTTTCCTGGAGTGTTGTTTAAAGCCCAGTTCATTCACCTGTCCCATTTTTCCCCATTCATCTCTATGCAGTTATAAATATCCCCCTCCAAGATGTACAAACCCAGCTGGCATACAATAACCCTCAGTGGAGGTGCTGCCCATCAGCAGACACAGAACCACCCACTGAGAGCATTGGGTTTTCACAAATCTTTTTTTCCCCCCCTTAGCTGTTAAAAGAGAAGAGGGGGAAGAGGGAGAGGAGTTCATCCACGAAGTATATTTCTTGGTTGCTGAGAGACTTCAAATCTCCCTAATGAATAAACACAGTGCACTTAATTTTGTTTATGAAAACAGACTTATTGTGATGGCAGAAAGATGAGTCAGTGCCCTGGGTGAGGGGAGAGCAGCAGCTGGAGACACTCACCGAAAAGCAACGCCTCGGAAACCGGAGCAGCTCTCATGTCCAGCAGTGCCAAGAGATGCAATTTCTCCCCTAACAAAAACCACCAGGACACAGGGAGTGGGAAAAGGCTTCCTCATGACCTGGCAATTGGCTGCTGAGCGAGTATTGCCATGAAAAGCGGAAGATTTGTGAACGAGCAGCGGACACTGCACATCCTGCTCCCACCCAGCCCATCCCGAGGATGCTCCCAGAGCTGGACTGAGCCTTGCCTGGCCTTGGGCTCCTGGGGAACAACTGAAGAGCTGCTGCTGGTCCTTCTCTGAAACACAGCACAAAGACACAAGGGAAGATTTAAATTTGAGCCCCTCATGCAGGAGGAATTGCTGACTCGACTCTGAGAAGCACATTCCCCATCCATCTCTGCATCCCCTCTGATGTTTTTGGCATTTATTTTGGACAAATATGAGCAAAGGGGGATCTGAAGCTGCTCCTGTAGCTTCCTGACCAGGTGAAGCCTCCTGAGGCTTCACATAAGCAGGTGCAACACAAACATTATTTCCTTCAAATAATTTTACTGCCTGAAAAAGAGTATCACCATAAGAGTGACTTCCCACAATGTCCCATCTTCCCAAGATGTCCAAAACACACCCTGCCCTGTGCCTGTGAGGAGCCCTGAGATGTCAAACACATTATCCCTCTCCCTGCAGCACTGGGTGACATGTCACCCTGCCACCAGCACCCCTGCAGAGCCAGGCTGGTCAGATCTTCATCTGGTCCTCAGCATGTTGCTGGCACTTCATAAATAACTCCAGCCCTTCCTTGAGATCATGGGCCTGTTGTTTTCCCTCCTCAGCCTCACTGATGTAAATCTGCCACGTCTGCACGAGCTGTGGTGATGAATGACCCTGAATAAGGACCCACTCAGCCAACTCTCCCTGGACAGAGCCCCATTGTGTGCTGGGGGGTAACACACAGGGCTCTGTTCAAACAAAATCAGCCCAACACAAGTTCAAGACTTTTTCTTCCTTCCTTAAAAAAAGAATTAAAAAAAAAAAAAAAAAGAAACCCGTTTGCTGAAGGCCAAGCATGGAAGAAGGAAAGAAATTTCAATTAAAACCCATAAAAGCCTAAAATTACTCAGTTTATATTGGTGCCTGGGTCAGAAATGCAGGTGAATACACTGGACATAAGCACAAACCATATCAAGGTCAAGGTTTTTAAGCACCACAGAGGTACCACCACATGCAACACAGAAGACAGGCCAAGAAACCCCAGCTCCCTAAAAATGTCCCACAAAGACTGAAACATGTAAAGATTTAAAATCTCTGTGTACTGCTTTCCACACAAGACAGAGAAGAGCCTGTCTCTGCAGTTACAATCTCTGATGGCTAAAAGACAACAAACCAGAGAGGAATGACAGATTTTAGCACTGGGCTGTCCATTATTAAGGGGCCTTTCAAGCTTGTGCCATAGAGCAGAAGAAATCAGGGGCTCCTGGAGGTTGGACTTTGCTCTACAAACACTCAGTTGTTATTTTCAACTATTTAAACCCATTCTCTAACAGGCCAGACTATTGCATCAATGCTGGTAGAGGAAGGATGGGGCTCATGGATTTTCATCACTAAAACTTATGCCTTTAGTAAAAAAATCATCAGCTACAATACACACCCAGGCTGACCAAGGTGAATTTTCACACTGGTTTTGCACTAGCGCACATTAAAATACAGGTACAAAACACCAAGGTGTGACTCTTGATGATTTACAGTGCAACTGTTGTGTTCTATCAGTTGGTTTTCCCTTTTATGTTGTTTCTTTGTCAGTGTGATTAATGTGCTCTCTGCCTCACCCAGCCAGTGTTCCCCACATTAAGAGGAAACTGTTGGTTCAGAGGGTTATTAGTTCAGCATTTTGCAACAGTAACTGTATGCCCAGCTTTAAAAATTGTCTTCAAAGTGGGCTACATATCAAATGAAGCCTTGGATAAATAAAGGCCATCAAGCAATAAACTGTGTTAGTTACAGGCCAGTACTTTCTGTTACTGTAATTCACAGAAAAACTGCCATAAAAGAGTGAAAACTCTGTAATCCAAGACCTTTTCCTCTTTTTTTTTCTGGTACCAGACTTGTCCCCTAAAGCTTAAGATGGTTGAATCACAGATGGATAATTTTCCAGTTCCTTTGAAGTTCCTGATTAAGCAGTGACTTTTCATGTATCTTCAGTACAAAGCCAATTCCTCATCTGCCACAAGAGGAGCAAATGGAAGAGGATGTGACACCAGCCCAAACAAAGTGCCAGAAGTTTCCACAGAAACCTGTGGAAATTCCTCTTCAAATTCTCAGAAAAGTCAAACCTTTCAGGTTCCCTGGCTCCGGAGCACGAAGTGGAGGCACCATCTCCCTGCATCTCTGGTTCCATGAGAGCCCATTGCATTTGCCATTTTGCTGTGCTCTGTGTGCTCCTGGTATGGGAAGGTCTCAGCCCTCCTTAAGTCATACACAAGAAACTAATACAAAGAAATAATAGTGATTAATAATTTTCCCATAAGATCCATTTCAAATACTCTAAATCTAAAAGTACGTATAATTCGGGGCAAAAAAAAAAATCTATTAAAAACTAATTCTGTGGTACTAAAGTTGGCTCAAACTAGCCCCTTAAAAACAAACAAAAAAAACCCCTAAGCACTGTAGATTAGTTGGCTTTTCACCAACCAGCTCTGATTGAAAATCAAAGGCAGATGTGAGCAGAAAAGCAGCAATTTCAGCTCTCCCAGCAGCCGCCTGTTGTTGGCACAGGCCCGAAAAATATCATTTCAAACTGGTACCGGCTGGACCCGCTGCAGCCTTCGTGGCAATTACGTGGCCAGAGTGTTCCTGCTGTCCCTGCTCAGATAAACAGAGCTTTCTGCAACAGAGGGAGCGGGGATTAAGGCAAAGAAAAAGGACTCAGATGGGAAAGCTTAGTTTCCTTACATCTAAGGGGTATGTGCGACTCAGCACGAGGAGTGAGAGCTTTAGCCAGGAAATCCATCCTTTGGCTAGTCCTTGAGAATGCCTGGATGGGGAGAGTCCTCTTGCACAGGGCAAAGGGGCTCCATCACCCCAAACTGTAACCACCAGCCAGAGAACAGCAACAGGCTGGGGAAGAGGAAGGCAAGACACTGAACAGCTGTAAACTCCTTTAAAATAGAAATGAAGAAGAAAGAGAGAGTGTGATGATAAAAGATGTTTTGTGCTGCGCTGGCAGAGGAGCAGAATTGATGATGTGATGAGTCAGTTCCCTCTCCAGCATTAACAACCCTCAACATGCCTTCCAAAAGCAGCCTCTGTTCGGGGTCCCTGGCTCCAACATCAGCAACACTTTCCTTGGGACAAGGATCTGTCTGCTCTCAAACTTGACTCTTCTAAAACCAGCACTGCACCAGGACAGATGATTTCAGGGCTGGAGGGGCTGCCTGTCTTCTGGGCAAGAGATAATGTTTTGTATCAAAATACATTTCATGTGAATGATCCTATTTATGGTACAAATTTCAGCCTATTCTAGCTTGCCATACCCAGAAATACAAAGAGAATTAAACTTGAAAAATTAAAAATCAGATCCACTTCTACATGCAGAACTGAACTTTGCAGGATTTCCTTCTTTTTTTCTTTTCTTTTTTTTTTTTTTTTTTAAGTGCATATCACTTTCCTGCACTCCCAAATATTCCCTCCCTTGTGCAGGATGCCTGCAGTGACTATCACACAAATGACACATTGTCTCTTGGCAAAAAAAGATGTGCAAAATGAGATTTGACTCAAAGACCTGCTTACCAAAAATTCCCTTCAAAGTGTCCTACAGAAGCAGAGTCAGAAGGTAACTCTCTCTTAATTATCTCTTAAGAGTGAGAACTTGGAATATCTCTGCAATACTGTGCAGCAATGTGGTTTTTAAAAGAAAATAATTAAGTCTGTAATAACAGACAGCCTCAGAAGCATTAATTTTTCCCTTTTCTCTACAACAAAATAATCAGAGAACAGCAATGCCATTAAAATAGGGAAAGTGGAAATAGGATCCTTGAACCAGAAAACCATTCACCAACATGTCCAGGGATAAAATATCAGCTCTGCCTCATGACTCATCTCTGAATCTATCACTATTTAAATACTCAAGTACTTTGAATTTTATGTGGTCATGATAAATAGCAACAGGCAATTGAATTCACATCCTCAGAGTGCAGTATTCAGTTAAGGAAAGCTCTCCACCTCACCATCTGCTTTCTCTTCTCCCTTTTTCTTATTTCTGTATCATCCTGGATTCCTACCTCCTTTTTCTCCCAAGAGAGTACAGAACCTTAAAAGGCAACCCCAACACTGCAGAACCATCTCTAACAAAATGTGGAATATTCCATGTTTTTTTACAGGAGTAGCTTTCCTACTCTACACAGAAAAATGCTGCATATTTCCCACTAGAAAGTCTTTGAGGGTATCTCCATATTGTTCTGTCATCAGCCTCAGCAAAAGAACAACAAAGATAGTGCTAATTATTTCTGTGTCACTCTGAAAATGAAGATTTTTGTCTGCTTTTGGTCGTATCTCCTGGAGTATCTTCACACAGGACAACCACAGCTCCCTGGGTGTTCATGCTGGTGCCCTCTGCAGCTGCCCAAGCAATTCTGTGTGCTTGAATCCCACCTTGGAACTTCTTTCCCACCCACAAAAGGTGAATAATATGTACCCAAAATACTGATAACTGTGGCTGTCCCCTTAATTCTGCACTTTGAGCCACCAGGCACCTTGCAAGTGATTTGTTCAGAAACCGCCCAGCTTGAGATCAGGTTCTCCCTCAGGTCTGCACAGCTGAGATGTCCCTGCCTGGGGTGGAGGAGCTGCTGGGCTGGGGGCAGGCAGGGACAGTTTGGGGGGACAGTGGGAGCAGCACTGTCCAGGTGACCAAACATCCCTCTCTGCTCCCTTTGGCTCCATCTCACCTGCAGACTTTGGGCATGGGAAGCAGGATCAGTCCACACTGGTCCTTCCCTCTGACCCGCCCCTGAATCCTGAGCTGGGACGAAGTGCCAATGGCTCATGGGCAGCCCCTCAGATACTCAGAGGTTTAAACTGACACAGAAAGGACAGTGTGGATTTCTAGTCCTATGGATTATGAGGAAAATCTCCTCCCTCACAAGCCAAGCCAAGAGGATCTGGTGTCAGAGCCTGCCTGCAGGCAGAGGCCATGTGTGTGATGAGCACAGGAACGTGGGGACAAGCTCTGTGCATGCAAATTTAGGTCCATTTGGTTAGTTATTGGCCTGGTGGTAATCTGGGTCTAGTATACAAAGTGCTTCAATCCTAGTTTGGGATTCATACTGGAAAGAGGAACCCCTGCATTCACAGCCCTGTTTTTGTCTCACTGGGGCGAGCCTGGGGCTGCACAAAGACACCCATTTTGCTCAAACCTTTCCCTCAAGACAGAGCTAGAGCTGGACTCCAGCCAGCAAGCTGCTCATGGGCAATCCAGGCTTGGAAAGGGACTTGAACACACAGTCCATTAACAGCATCAGCATTTCCCAAAAGCTGGGTGATGCGGCTTTTCCGAGCCCGATGGCTGCTGACCCCGAAACCTAAGGAACAACCATGATTTCAGTGACAATAACTTCAGGAGAGTCATCCAGCTACTCCAGAGCTGGGTTTTCAGCCTTTCTCTTCTTGCCAGAAAGGGCTTTAGTGCTAAGCCCAAAGCCTTCCAGCTCCTTTGTTGTGGAGCTCTGTCCTGCACTTGGACAGCCTGTCCAAAAACCACTTGCCAACTCCTCCTGCATGGCTGGGTCCCCACCCAAGAAACTGAGGTCCTTTTCTGCAACACCCACCAGTTCTTATGTGTTTTTCTGAAGACTCAAGTACCCATCAAGCTCCACAGCTCCACCATTTATGCCTCATGTATCAGAGTGTGCATCCACATGGAAGCACCTGCAGTATTCCCAATACCAAGGTCACTGTGGAGAACATGTGTGGGAATTTGGATCAGACAAGTGCTGTTTCAGCATTAGGCCTTACCAATCACAACCCCCCAGGGCACATCCCTACCTCACAGAGGGATCCAGCGTGCACATTGCTCCTTCTCTGCTCTCCGAGGGATTCACCACATCTGCGATACATTACAGCCTTCTCAAAGAAATGTTGTCTACATTAAGTAGAAGTATTTAATTAGCACTTCATTTGGAGCATGTGGTACAGCTCACAGTTCCATTTTGGGCCAGAGATGATTTTCAGGGGTGGGTGGAAAACAGCTGAGGATGCCAGGAGCCCAGTGCACTCCCAACAGGCACTCTTGCTCCTCTCTGTTCGCACATCCCTGCAGGCTCTGCAAGGAACTGCTGCCGGTTGTGGCCCTGGTGAGCTGGAGACACAAAGCAAATACACAAAAACAACTCACAGAATGAATATTACACGTGTCACCTCCATCCTCCTTGTCGCCTGTGGCTACTCGGGCATGTGGGTCTGACAGGAGGGAGGTTGTTCCTCCTGCAGGTCTGGGGAGCTGGAAGCTCCTTCCCCATCCATCCCCCTGCCTGGACACGAGGCAGGGCTCTGTGCCCGGTGCTGCCTCGCCCCGGGGAAGCCCCGGTGATTCAGACACCCCTGTGAGTCACCTCCCTCCCCAGGGAGGGGCTGATGCGCTGCCGCCAAGGTTTGCACACCCTGGGCTGGGGACAGGGGTGCAGGGGTGGTGTCCCCCCATCCCCAGCACAGCAGGAGCTCCCTCACCCAGGCACACAGGTTCCCTACTCCCTCCGGGACACCCACCCCTAATCCCACTCGTTCTAAATAGTTTTAAAAACAAACGTCTCCAATAACATCTAATGGAACTTGCCCATGATTCAAGTGTCTGTGCTGGCCTAAATATTCCCCTTTGGAAGGAGAGCCAAAGCCTCAAATGTGAGCTTCTAGCCAAGGTCGAGAGCAAGTCAAAAGACATCTTACAGGCAGACAAGAGCAAAATCACTGCTCCAGAGTCACTGGAAGGATCCAGCTCTGCATTTCACACTTCTCAAGCTGAAATCTTGAGCTGGCCAGACTCAGGTTTTTGCATCTGCTTGAACCCCCAAATCCAGATGCCTTCTATGTTCTCAGTACCCACAAGAAAGCCCTGAATAGACAAAAAAACTCCTTGGTACATGAGCAAATATGCTGTAATATTATCAGAATAAATCTCCACCAGACTTGTTCACCATTACAGCAAAAGGATGAGACCAAGACATTGTGGTTTTTATATAAATGCACACACATCTATCTACTCATGTAGATATATTAATATAGCTATTTGTGTGTGTACATATATATATATATATATATATATGACAAAAACTCTTCCTTGGCAGTACCTAAAACTGCTATTAAAATCAACAAGGCTGTGATGAATACACACATAAAATCACTGATTGTCACTTTTCTAGTTTATGTGCTGTGTTTCCACAGTTTTCTGTACTGCATCAAAATACTGCACTATCCCTTTGCAAACGTTCTCACTGCT